TATATATATACAGAGGAAATCTGGGCTCCTAATTGTTGTGCAGGAATCAACCGTAATATGTCTTTTGTTTCGAAGACAGGACTTTTTGTAGACATAAGTTTTAAGTACATTTTAAATACATTCTACTCGTACCTGATGGCTTTGCATCATGAACACTTTGTGGATTACTTTAAATGGATGTATGGTTTACATCCTGAGTGTCCTCAGGCCTAATCTCTTTTTGCTGCCCTCTGACCTTTAGCCAATGTTTTAAGAGTATTACAAAGGGATATTCTTAATTATTCACTTTTAGGTCAGTGAGGAGGGAGATTTTAACCATGTTGTTTTTTTGTTTTTCCCAGCTGGAGGATTATGATCAGGTGTCCTTGGAAGACCAGCACTATCCAGGGGACGGCAGTATGTTAAGTCCCAAAGCCAAGCTGTTGCTTCGGGATTCAAAGAAGGAGCTTTTGAGGTAGGGTATGCAGGGTTAAATAATGAAACATCTTGCACCATCTTTATTCAGTCAGATACGTTTAAGCTGATCCTCCCTTTTAGTCGGCAGATGGTCGGTATTAATGATAAAAAAAAAAGTGTAACTCCGAACCGTAGAGCAGATTGATTTAAGTGGGTCAAATGAAACTCCCTGTGTCACATTTGACTGTAACTGATATGTCTGCAGGTTCATGTGGAGAAGAAATGTCTGTTTGAAAGTGAGTTTTTTTTACCTGTATGTCCCGTAAAAGCTTTGCACAACTCTTGACTCTTGTAGTTAGAGTGCATGCTCTACTCTACTGGGTCTTTCCACCACAGAAGTAGGACCCTCTAGTTTTTACACAGCAAAACTTCCCCTGAGATTTTCCAAAATGATGCTGAGAGATGTCATCTGACTGAAACCTAAGCATTGTAATCACAAACAGCTACTAAACTTCTTGCTGTACTAACTCTTTTTTTCTCCTCCATAATGTATACAAAAACAAAAAGGCTCTCAAAGTGTCAAAGAAAAGATCCAGTGGCAGCTTGGCAGTCTGTGGGAAGTGGAGTAATCTGTGTATTAAATGCTTTGTGTTCTCCGTGCAGCTGTCCGACCCCAGGCTGTGACGGCAGCGGCCATGTGACGGGGAATTATGCATCGCATCGGAGGTACCGCAATTAATTACAGTCTCATTAGCAGCAGCTCAAAGTTACGCAGACTATGAAAATGGTGCTTATTGTTTCAAGGTGTCACAAACTGTAGCTTGTACACTACATGATATGAAATGACAGCTTCATGAAACAGCTCTCTTTTCCTGAGGAGGAAGTTGTGTTTTCAAATAATGTTTTGTTATTTACGTATTTGGATAATTTAATGCCACAGTGATCAAAGCATGAATTAAAGTGACTCTTAGCTCTTTATCCTCTCCAGTGTGTCTGGGTGTCCCCTGGCTGACAAAACTCTCAAATCGCTGATGGCAGCCAACTCTCAGGAACTAAAGTATGTGTTTTGAAAACAGTTATTTTTCATTTGCTAAAGGAATTTCTTTCACATTAAACTAGGCAGCTTTTTCTTGCTTTCACTCTTTGCTCCTCTTATCCACCCCCCCGTGCATTTCGTTTATCCCTTTCATTCCCATTACACACGATGCAAGATTTCCATGTCCTCAATATGAACTCGTTTAGCTATTTGTGCTGCTTTCCTGCATATTAGCACGGATCCACTTTATGCTGTAAAAAGCACCTGGTGTCTGTGTCTCTCAACCTGCAGGTGCCCAACACCTGGCTGTGATGGATCTGGACATGTGACTGGGAACTATGCTTCGCACAGAAGGTAGAATGAAAGAGAAACGGGAAAAAAAGCAGATATCATCACCACTGAGCATGAAATATATTTGTCACATGTATGGCTTTCAAACAGATGGTGGAAGTCTCACTTTATGCAGCAGACATGCTGCACTTTTTGAATTCTTGTTTTTAAAGATGAACTTGGTTCCTGTCTGTCTGTCTGTCTGTCTGTCTGTCTGTCTGTCTGTCTGTCTGTCTGTCTATCTATCTATCTATCTATCTATCTATCTAAGAAATGGTGCAGTACTTTTACCATTGTTATTGCAATACTAAATATATATTAATATATATTAATTTTCAGCTTTCAAAAACAGAATTTATTCTATTGATACATTTGTAAAGAAAGAGAAAAACATGTTACATGAAAAACATGTTTTTTTAAAGGTTGTTTTTTCATTAAAAACTAAACACCCTCAGACATTACATTGGTAGTGTACTCGCTGTCTTATGTGTGGCCTATGGGGTACCCCTTATGTAAAAAGAAAGAAACTCTAAAACAATTTGTCTTTCGATTCATGCATTTAGTCTCTTTTCAGGCTTTAACAGAACTTCTCAGTAGGTTCATTTTATTTCTCCAACTGTTTTCAGCTTGTCAGGGTGTCCACGTGCCAGAAAGGGAGGTTTGAAGCTCACACCAAACAAGGATGACAAAGACGAGCAGGAGCTTAAGTAAGACGTTTTTTTCTAAATTCCTCATCCTGCCATCATGTCAGTGTAAAAATGAATCAAGGCAACAGAGCAAGAGCAGTGTCACACTTTTTTTGTGTTCTATACCTGCAGGCTGTAGAGCTAAACAAAGAAAATAATACATTTGTTGTCCCCAAAAATTTGTAAATTATTATTTTTCAAAGGAATTAGCAGCTGGTTTTTGTAAGACTTTCATTTTTTCCAGGGTTTTTTTTTTTCTGAATGGGATAGCTGGCTTTTCACTTTTCTCTCAGTGCTTTCTTTATAATTATATTACATTAAGAAAATGTTGATCTAATGATGGCACAGCACTCATTTTCTCTAATCGCTCTTGTCAGTAAAAGTGTTGTTAGGGGGAAAAAAAACAACGGTAATGTAATTGATTTGGAGTTTAAATCCAAAGTCAGATACACAAGCCCTTATTTACTTATACATCTGGACACTGTTTTTTTTTTTCTTTTTAATTACTAATGCAAGGCCAAGAGCTTAGGAATTATATCGTAGTAGATCTCATACACACTATGGGAGAATAGGAGAGAAAGGGGGAGGGTAACAAATGTCCCTAGATTATTGTAAATAGTGAGCCATATGGCATGCCTCCATTGTCTGGGTGCCTTGCATCAAGCTACCTACCTGTGGTAGATGTAAGTAATGGGGACTGATTTTGTTTTGTCCTATAAGTGCAGTATTGCTGCTGTGTAGTGAAAAAATGCTGAAACAGGCTTTTTGCAGGCAGCACTCCAAAGCGTGCGTGCCATTTGGATCATCTCAGGCGACCTTTCACCTTTATCAATAAGGGAATGGGTTAGCCACCTCCAAATTACATTCTTTCGCATGAGGGGGGGGGACATGACAATTATCTGTAATTCATGTCACTCCATTACTGACCTGCAGAAAACAGGCCTGGAAATGCAACTGACAAACTCTTAATGACATTCAGCATGAGTTGTGCTGCTTTTTTTAATTTTTTTTTTTTTCCACACACAAATATTACTCTACACAAAATGCAAGCACTAAACTAAGCAGAGCGCTTATTCCAACCTAAGTTTTAGTGGATTAATAACTTACAGCTAATGTGATGATTTGAATCCATCTCCAGTTTTTCAACTTCATTTTTAATCAGCATTTGGCTGGATTAATCAGGGTAATGGTTAACAAATCTTCCGGTCTAGTTATTAAAATAGATTTTTTTTTTAAATACTCTTTGTTGCTGTTGTTTAACAAGAGGTCGTGTGCTTTTATTGTCTACAGCACAACAGTGTTGCTAAATGCAAGTTTTTTAGAGTTTTCAGTAGTGACTGTAGCTCTTGGGTCTACTTGTCTCTTGACCTGTAGGTGTCCTGTGATTGGATGTGACGGGCAGGGCCATATATCGGGGAAATACACATCCCACCGCAGCGCAGGCAGTTGTCCGCTAGCTGCTAAAAGACAGAAGGAGTCGTCCATCAACGGCCTGCCCTTTGCCTGGAAGGCCAACAAGCAAGAATTGCCCCATTGTCCCCTGCCTGGCTGCAATGGCCTCGGACATGCCAATAATGTATTTGCCACTCACCGAAGGTAATCTCCCTTATTTACTGTTTCCTCTCTCAGCAAAAATGCTGTTTTGATATGATTCATCTTAACTATATAGTTGTGCTTGAAAGTTTGCATACCCTCCCATTAAAGAAAAGGACAAATGCACGCTAGTAATTCACAATAAAATGGAAAAAGGTAATAATAAATCAAAATTAACTAAATAATATTTTGATTTTTTTTATTTAAATAATTCTAAAAAGCAAACCATCCCAGACAAATTAAAGTACCTTGCTTGTGAAAAACAACTTTAAAAAATATATATATATTCAAAATCAGTACCATGATTTCCATTTAAAAAAAAATCAAAATCATTGTTATTTATCATTACCTTTGTTAATTTATTTCTTTCTGTCTTTAATGGAACAGTATGTAAACTTTCAAGCACAACCATAATAACACCTCTACTAGAGGAGCACCGATCCAAACTCTCTGGCCAGTCGCTGAATTTGCTAAAAAAAAAAAAAAAAATCAGCAATTGCCCAATATTTGGAAAGCTTGGATTTCTATCTATGATCTGCAATACAGCATTACCATATGACAATTAAACCTTAATATTAGAAACATATGCGTCATCATACCTAAATTGGCTGAATTACCATTATGAAAACACTAGTGTCCACCTTAAGGGGCCATTTATGCTCCTTTCACACATTTGAATAGGCCAGACTGTTTCTAAAGTTGCTAAGCCTCACTACCCTCATGCTTTCAATGTGTTTTAAATTACCTTGGCTGTTAGGCAGTGTTGCCACTTGAGCCTCTAAGTTAGCTTCTTAATCCAGAGGACAGTTTTAGACAATAAAAAAATGCTTGACATGACTCCAAAATTTGGCTTTGTGATTGCTGAGCATACAGTACAAGGGTTTACTGAAATTTTTACAAAAATCTACCATTTCCTCCTAGTCCAGCATGCAAAATGACACAGAGAGTGAAAGTTTAAAAAAGTAAACAATTACAACTGTGTTGTAGTTGATTAAGCCGTCCTTTTATCTGCTGAAAGTGCCACTCTCTCACCCTACCGCAGGTTGAAAAAAAATGCAGTTTCCTTTTAAAAAGCGGAATATATCAAATTGCATCATTGTTGCAGCAGCAATGTTTACGATATTGTAATAACAAAGGACTGCTTGGCGGCAATATGGCTTTCTTGATGCATATAATTTTATTGGTTAAGATGTTAAAGCACAGGACAAAACTATGGGGATACTGCAAAGCTGAAAAGTAAGAAAACTTAGAATCCAGAGGAGTTGGGTTAACTGTAATTAATGCAGCCATATTTCTTACATATGTGAGGTTCTGTTGAGTTTATTTTAAACAACCTAGTGGTACTGAAAATTAAACCTTAAAGCGATGTGGTACTGCTTCCACATGATGAGTTTGATGATTACATTTCTGAAAGGATGGTCTTCAGTTAAAGAAACAATTTGCTGTTGCACCTCTACCCTGTACTATGCCTTGTAAATTTGGTGATATTCTACACACTGTAATGATCTTTCATGCTTAACTAGCTTATCAGGATGCCCGCTGAATGCACAGAGCATCAAGAAAAAGCATTCAGAGGAGGAGATGATGACTATCAAACTGAAAACCAGCAGTGGTGAGTTCAAGAAAATATGGATTTCAGAAAAGAAAAATAGCAACCTAGCTGTGACCAGATTAAAATAGTCCATCCTCTCTGATGCAGGTGTTGAAAACAAAGAAGAAATTCACCATCTGGACCACGAAATCAAAGAACTGAACAGTTCCAATATGAAAATAGAGGAAGACATGATGCAACTCCAAACACAGGTAACTATTTACTCCTACAAGTCTGCGTTCCAACGCAACAGTTTTGGGGGGACTGGTGCACATTTAATTTGTTGAACCTTTCTTCGATTTTGAACCTGAAAGCAGATCTCATCGATGGAATGTAACCTAAAGACAATTGAAGAGGAAAACAAGATGATGGAACAGCACAATAACAGCCTTCTGAAGGAGCTGGCTCGCCTCAGCCAAGCTCTCATTAACAGCCTGACAGACATTCAGCTTCCTCAAATGGTACAGTAAGCCTTGACCACAGACTGCATCTGTCCAACTTGTCAGTGAAAAGTAGTCTCCTTCAAACTGGCACTGTCTGCTCTGCTGTTTTCACTAATGGTCACACATGTTTTTGTTGCAGGGACCCATCAGCGAGCATAATTTTGAAGCCTATGTGAACACATTAACTGATATGTACAACAACTCGGAGCATGAATACTCCCCGGAGTGCAAGGCCCTCTTGGATAATATCAAACAGGCTATTAAAGGCATCCATGTTTAAGCTGCAGAGCTACCAAGAGGTTCCTTTGACTTAGGATAATGGCACTAGATAGCTCTATTTCACTGAAGAGGGCTGGCTCGGCTGCATGTATAAGACAAGGCTTTTGGAAATGTGTTCGGCATTTCTCCGGTAAACACGCTGCACTGAGAAAATTACCAGCCAGATTTGTAATGCTTTTACTGTTTCTGCATTTATCCTGCTGAGGTTTTTTTGTTTGTTTGTTTGTTTTTTTACTATTATTATTTTATTTTTACCTTTTCTTGCACTTAATTATTTGGATGGTTTGCTTGATTTAAATCTGTATATGTTCCTGTCATTCTTCAATAATTGGTATTTATTATTATATTTGTTAGTGTATTTATTTCCTCCGATTTTATTTATTTCTTGAACTGTAAATGCTTAATATTTGAGAAATCTGTTGGTTTTTCTGCACATTGTAAATTACACAAAAGCACATTCCAGTTTTTAATGGCATATTTTCGCCATCTAGTGTTGAAAAAGCTAGTCTATTATTGCTCTTCTTTTAGTTTATGAGTTTAATCCATTCAAAGAAAAAAAAAAAGACTACCAAAACTAAGTATCAATGGTTTTAGGCATTGCTTTCACTTTTGTTAATGGGAACTGAATGTATTAGACAAAGTGAGATAAAAAAAAAAAAATGATGATAAAATAAATTGCAAGAGTACTGTATCTTTTTATACTCGAGATGATGGAGTGAGAATGAAACATCTTTTTGGGAAGTGAATGTGAGTTTGTGCCCTAAAAAGAGTGCACCTAAAAAGAAAAAAAATAAGAAAATCAGAAATTCCCTTTGTCACCACATCTCTTTTTTTTTTAAACAGAATTATAAATATTGAACTGCCTTCTGTGCACACATGTTGGTGTGTGCATATAGTATGTGCCTAAATGTATATGAATTCATGAAAATATACAAGTACTATGTTTTGTGGTAGGACAGTATTATGTGGATGGTGTCTAATTTATTCAACAGTACAATTATTTTCATAGGAGGAAAAGTTCCTGATGACTGTTTGAATACCGATGTTTCAGTAGCTGTAATCTCTGATTCAGGTTCTAAAAAAATGACAAAGACTGATATTAGATTGTTTTTATCCCATGGATGGGGGACACAGGAAATCTGCTTCTGTTTTAGTCTTTAATCCTTATAGTTCTCAGCATTTCAACAACTATTGAGGTTTAAATATCTTTTTTTATATATATATCTGAATGACAGAGAAAACAGAGACACTACATGGCAGTTTCAGTCACTCATCACAGATAAAAAGCATTGAAAGTTGAATCACTTGTTCCTTTGAATCATTTGCACTTTTTACAAATATCTGTTGTGTTTCCGTTAATTTGACAAAAGGTCATCGCAGTTACTTTATACTGCCATACATTCAGTCTCCCAGTTTTAGAATTAAATCCAAACTATATTCGTTTGAGCAATATGTCGTATTTTTAAGTCCAATGTAGCCTTTAAGGGTTTTAGAATCAAACACTGTAACAGCAAAACAGCCAAACAGAAGACAATTTAGACCCTATTCTGTCCAAACACCCACAAATGTTAATCTTTTTAAAACCCAATTACATTATTTAGACTTAATCCCTTATAAGTTATTTTTAATTCCTAAACCACATGTTGTTTGCTCAGGAAGTTTTGTGAATAATATTTATTTTTTTTCTCTTCTCCCTGTTAGTATTTGATGTTTTGTAATGTGAAAATGCTCTTTTTTGTGGAACGATATTGGTATGAAATTGTACTGTATCAATTTGGTTTGTTTTGTTTTACATTAAAATGTTTTTTTTTTTTTTTCGGTTGAGGTAGTTTGTAAAATGGAAACTTCCTATTACTTTTACTATTTCATAATAAACAGATATGCGCTGTGTTGTACAGTTTCTGTATGGTAGAAATAAACTTTTCAAACGGTTGTGTGGTTTGGTTTTGGATGTGGATATTTTCATAGGGCAACACTGGCACCTAGTGGTCAATCAGAAGTATTGTATTCAGAACAAGTTAACTCACTGAGCAGGTCTTGTGGTAGCATTTAAAATGACTGATCAAGACGCTGTTTGGGCTTGAACAGAAAAAAGAAAAGAAAAAAGACTAACGTAACTGAAATTTTATAGCTTTTTCCTTTTAGATTAAAACGTTTTTCACAACATACCAGCTAATTTGTAGTAGTATGAACAATCATTTTAATAGAGATGACTGATTTAAATATTTTTGTGAGTTCTGTTATCATTTTTTCTTACCTCTTTGCTGTTCTCTTTGCTTTATATATATATATAAAAAATATAACAATAAAGTTAAAAAATCTTGACCACAAAACCACAACTTATGTCTTGGATGTTCCTTGGCAGTAATAGACGTTTTGATTTAAAGGGAAAATTAATTATATTCAGAGCTTATTTCACAGTTCTATTCCTAAATAAAATCCAAAATACATCGGACAATATGCGACTTATTGATGCACTTACATTTCAAAGAAGTAAAAGTCTTGCCTTTAGAAGGTTATTTTGTTATAATAATAAACCTTAGTTTAACTCTGGGGATTTTATGTAATACACCCACACAAATTTCCTGTATTTGTTAAGTGAAGATATAATTATGCAAGATTATTAAAGATTTTCCCAAATAAAAATCTGAAACATGTTCTATGCAAATGTTTTCCTACACTTGGATGAACAACCTTTTGTGAAACCATCATTTACTGGAAAACAGCTCCTAAAGAAAAGAAGTTCCATGGCATAACAGTGCTATGTTTCAATATAGAGGATAGTTTTCCTCAATAGACAGACATTTTGAAGGAATTGTTAGAACAGAAGAATAGAATAGAACATTTTATGGAACCAACTACCAGTTTTAGTCCATGAGACATAGAAAATACATTCTCCCACAATGGGGAAATTCTTTATTGATATATTCAAATTGTTCAATACTGAGCTCATCTGACAAGAGAACCTGCTGGTCCATATTTATATGGCCCTCCTACATGGCCTTTGGCATGCTAGAAATTAGGCTTCTAATACCTTTCTTTTAAGCATGACTTTCCCATTGTCTCTTTTTAAAAATCCCAGATTTTTACTGTGCATAACTAACATATTCCAACACCTGTCAACAGATACTCCCACCTGAGCTTTGTATCTCTGCAACTCCTCTTGGTTGTGTCTCTTGGTTATATCTGTGTCTGTGATTCAAGCTCTCCATGTTGGCCAGGCACTTTATTTAAGTATTTAGGTCTGTAAAATCTTCAAAGCTTGAGATATTCTAACCATGCCCCTTGTCCACAACTTCAGTATATAGAGTTTAATAAATATGCACAAAAAATAATGTCCTGTTATATCAATAAAAAATCTCCGCAAAAATTAATATGATTTTGTAAAAGTAATCTGACATAAATTAAAAAAAGAAACACTAAATATGACATTTACCTATAGGTAGGTAATTAAATTGAAAAGGAAATAATAGAAAAAAAATGCATCAGCTTAAAAGTGACTTTTTCTAGTAATCTTAGCAAAAGTTTCTCTTTTAGTTTTTTGAGCAGAAAAAAAAGTTTGCTCATGGGAAGAGCTAACTAAAATAAAAGTTTAGTTATCTTATGGGGTCCTTAGCTATTGTTAGAACGCCAGATTATATTAAGCCCTGACTGGGTAAGCAGCATTCTGCTTCAAAATCAGGTTAAATCTATAAGAAGGCAAAATAAGCAAAGCCTTGTTCTTAAATTTACTTCATATGACGAGGCATAGGTGAACAAAAATCAAGGCACATGTGTGTTTGATGATAAAAAAGAAGAATTAAAGATGAGAGCTGCACTACACAAAGCCACATCCTGGCACGTTATACAAATCTGTCTTCCTGTACTACCACTAGTTCCTGTTCTTCCTGGGCTGGTGTTAGAGTGCTTCAAGCAGCTTGATGGTTCGCTATTTAGTCTAGTCTGAGCAAGAAAGGCAAAAGCACATAAGGGTACCCAATGGAATCGATGTATTGTACTGTAACGTCATGTAAGTATAGCTTTTGTGATTTTGTAAATACGCGATATATTGCATTCTCCTAAGGTAAGAGAAAAGTAACTCTTCGAGGACTCACACGTGGACTGGCCACAGATTGAAGTGTTTTCGTGATGAGCTTCAGAAAACTAAATGTAGTGAAACCACTCCCACATCAATACTTGGGGGGGGGAACAACTTTAACAAACAATTTCAGACCGCAATAAATAAAAGGCTTAAAACAGATAATGAAATCAGACCTAAAGGTGGCCCTGTTAATTATTACATCCATTCACCATTTTTTTCTTTTTTACCATCCTGACTAGACATTCAAAAATATGATTCTGCATATTAGGTAATATATTGTGTTTGTGATTTAAAGTAACTCTAACCTCTCCTCTCCATCCATCATTAAAAATCTCATGAGACTCTAATTATAACGCTTAAAAAAACCCAAGCGTTTCTTGTTTAGAGGTGTTGATTTATTTATTATTTTAATTCAGAGTCTCTGTGAGAGGCCCTAGGTGACATCACTAATGATACTGGATGAGCAGCCATTCATTTATGAGAGACACTCAAATGTGCATCAGGGTGTATTTTGAATTAATAGTTTTGGATCACGCAAGTGGATCTCAACACCTCAGTTGCTCAATTAAACCACCCGGGGGGGGGGGGGGGAGGAAGTAAATAAACTCTTAGGGGAAGAAAACTCACTTGTTTGTGGAAAAAAAGGAAAATTATTTCTGAAAGAGAAGTAGCGAAAAATGTAGTTTGAATGTAGAATTTTCTCCCCACACCAAACAAATGTTTGCAAATGACTAATAATGTCAAAAGATGGTGTTCTCCCTCACACACAAGAAACTCCAGAAGAAAAACACAGCAGAGCTAAGCGGAGCAATTCAGGGCCAAAGCACTATAATAACACAGCTTCCTCCACATTAAACCAGGTGATCACCCATTCCCACTCTTCCATAGCTAAATCTAGGCCTTGCATTATGGGAATCTGTGAGGCCAGAGGGTGCATAACACTTTCTACAACCTTTTTTATTTTTACACCCTCTTGTCGAAAGGCTGAATATTCTCATATGCTATAGAACAGCATTTCCTTCCTTTATTTTCTCTGCTAAACAGGTTGTATTAAATGTTAATATGACAGAAACAGTGATTGTTACGGAAGACTTGATTAAATGCATATGTAAAGCACATGATAAAATAGTTTTTTTTTTTTTATCACAATTAAAATTTTGCATCATATCCTTCCCTTTTATGCTCTAAGTAGTTGCACAATCCAATACAACTGCAATCCATGGCACAAATACATAATAAAAGTGAAGCTTGTTGTTTTGTGACTAATTGCATTGGTCTGAACACCTATGTGAGACATGAGGTATGAGGTGAGTTGGAAAAAAAATTACATCCTTACTTTCTCCAAAGTTGCTTGTTGGGCAATCCAGGAAAAAAACCTGTTTAGGACTGCAAACATTTGGGGTGAAGGATTACCTTCCAGGAGAAAAACTACCGACATGTATTCAGCCGCAGATATCCCACCAAAATAATCAGCGCAGCCTTTATAAGTCACTTTATAAGTAAGTAAAATGCTGTTGTATTTGTTCTGTGAAGGTCTCAGGTCGGGGGTAAAGCTGTGTGGAGTTCAAAGCAGGGTTCGGTAATTAAACAGGATCCCAAGTTTTTAATATTTCACAGAGAACTGTGTTGCAAACTTGCAAACCTACACGAACAAACATTCAATTAAATTCAAAATTACTTTATTGATCTGAAGAGGAATTAAATGTTCTAACTCATAGTAGTTTTCTTCAACTAGTTGTTGTAGATGTTAACAGCTGTAGGCAGGAGGGATCTTCTGCAGCGAATCCGGAAAAAACGTTGGACTGAAGACACTCTGTTGGTGAATAGCAATCTTCTGAAGATGACGCTCACTGTTGTCCATAATTTTCTTCACTTTATGAAAAATAGTTCTTTGAGAAATCATCTAGAGGTTCCAGAGGAGTTTTTAGAACAGAGCTGGCCTTCTTAATTAGTTTTTTGAGCTTTTTGTAGTCATTTGCTCTGATGCTGTTACCACAGCAGATGATGGCAGAGGTGATGACACTCTCCACAACAGACTTAGACAAGATCTGCAGCATCTTGCTGCAAACAATGAGGGACCTAAGCTTTCTTAGGAAGTACAGTTTGCTCTGTCCTTTCTTGTAGATGACTTCACATCTGCGTCTCCAGTGGAGTTTGTTTTATTTGTATATGTATTTTTACTCCTCAACCAGCTCTAGATCTACTCTCAGGTCAGTAGGATTGTTTCTGTTTCTTCACTACATATCAGGGGCGTCAGATCCAGGATTTTGCCCTACAAACAAAGGGTTAATGGTTTAAGCCCTGGCGCTGCCTGTCTATGAAAGCCTCACTTCTGTCAGTGAGCCCCAGGGCAGCGCTGGCTACGATGTATGGGGCTATGCACGTGAATGGGTAAATTACTGAATGTAGTGTAAAGCACTTTGGTCAAGTATTCTGAGCACTTCACCAGTTCCCTAAACTCAGCCTCTTTGTCTATCTTTGATCCACCCAATGACTGCAGAATCATTCCAGATGGCAGGACTCTATCTGGTACTGGAAATCAGAATTGAAAAGAGTGAAACGGAATGGTGAGAGTACTGTCCCGTGTGGTGCTCCTGTACGGCTGTCTAATTCATTAGACAGCTGAATCTTCAGTCTCAAAAACTGTGGTCTGTTTGTCAGATAGTCTTTGATCCAGGCAATTCTTGAGGACTCCACCTTTTGTCTTTTGAAGTTTCTCACAAAATAAGTCAGGCTAAAATGTGTTAGATGGACTGTGGAAATCAAAGAACATGATCCTCATTATAATGTCTACCTTGTCTAATTGACAGTGGGTTTGTCGAAGCGTGTATAGCATCTTCAACTTTACAGTAACACCATGGTAATAAACAGACAGCTGGGGGTCCTGATAGCTGTTTGTTTGTTTGCTGAGGTGAATCAACAGTAATCTTTCTAGGACCTTCATGATGTGGGAAGTCTGCAAAACAGGTATATAGTGACTAAGGACGTTTTGCTGAATTTTCTTTGGTACTGGAACGAAGCAGGAGGTTTTCCACATCACTAGAACTGTCTACTAGGACAGGTTATGGTTTAAGAGATGCTGTAGAATCCCACAGAACTGCTTTGCATAGGCCTTCAGGACTGTAGGACTGACGCCATTTGGACCTGGTGACTTATTGCAATTCAGTCTCTGTAGTTGGTTGATTAGACATCTGAGGTGTGATCAAGAAGCTTTCGGTCGAAAGAGGACAGGATGTCTATGTGTGGACAAAGGAGAAGGATGCTGAGATTGTTTCTGATTCAACATTTTGAAGAAAGAGTTAAGTTCTTTGTCTCCATCCAGACTTCCGTCTTTTACTTTTCTCAGATCCTTCTTCTATTTCATTCTTGTGATCTTTTTCATCCCTGTTGTAGGCCTTCACCTAAACAAACATTTGGCAAAATTATTATCTTTATCTAAGCCTTCAACTTGTATGTCAGATCCTGTTCCAACAAAGTTATTTAAGGAAGTATTCCCTCCTATTTTAACTTCATTTTGGATATGATTAATCTACAGGGATATGTTAAAGAATATGTTTGAGGGATACGCCAGGACTTTATGGTAACTGTAAACCTTTACTTAACACTACTTACTACTTTCTTGACACAGATGCATTGGTCAATTATAAACCTATTTCTAATCTTCCCTTACCTAAAATATATAATATCATTGAAACAGCTATGTTGGTCACTAATAATACTATCATGGCCTCAGATAATTCAGTTGTATATGTACTTGGAATGTTAGACCTCAGTGCTGCATTTTATACACTCAATCATGATATCCTTTTGGGTAGACTTGACTTTGTAGGAATTCAGGGAACAGCACTAGGCGGGTTTAAATCTTACTTATCTGACAGAATCCTTCCTCAAGGTCCAGGGTTACCTGTGGAGTACCACAGGGATCCGTGCTAGGGCCAATTCTCTTCACTATATATATACTATGGGATAATACTCAGCTAAACTCAGTCTATAAATTTGGATAAAACTAACCCATTCCATACACTACAGGCATGTCTTGAAGACATAAAAACCTAGATGACTCTTATTTTCTTTGGACCTGATGAGTCTCTGAAAAAGTAGCTGATTAGTCAGTCAGTTTATTTGGATTGGATTAAATTGATCTCAAATAATAAAGTAAAAAAAAAAACTTGGTGTTATTTTTTATCAGGACTTGTCGTTTAAATCCCATATCAATGGGGTTTCTAGAATATCATCCTTTCATCTCTGAAATATTGCAAAAAATTAGAAATATCTTGTCAAGGGGTGATGCTGGGAAACTACTCCAGGCCTTTATTACTTCAAGGTTGGACTGTTGTAATTCTTTTCTATCAGGAAGTCCACAAACTGAAGCTAAGGTACAGCTCAGCTGTACCTTCAGCTGATCCAAAATGCTGCAGCCAGAATTCTGAGGAAAATTAACAAGAGATCATATCTCTCCTATCCTAGCTTCTCCTTATTAGCTTCTTGTTTAATACAGAATATAATTTAAAACCCTCCTTCTCACATATAAACAAATAAATTACAAAGCCCCATCTTATATCAGAGATATGATTGTTCCTTATGGTCCTAAAAGAGCACTTCGCTCTCAATCTGCAGGTTTACTAGTGCTTCCTAGAATTTCTTACAGTAGAATGGGAGGCAGATCTTTTAGTTATCAGGCTCCTCTCCTGTGGAACCAACTACCAGTTTTAGTCCATGAGGCAGAAACCTGGTCTACTTTTAATGCTAGGCTCAGACATTCCTTTTTGATAAAGCTTATAGTTAAAAACTGAGTGATGTTTGCTTAGTCGCTGGGTGACTAGAGAGGTAGGTGGAAGTAGAGCGTTAACAGCCCGATTCAGCGGGGGAGAATTTCAGTCTAGACAAATGTTTCTCTTTGGGTTTACCTTTCTTATACTACATACCTCAAAATAGTATGTTTGGGCTGCTAGGAGACATACGGAGAACTTTTCCTCATTCTGCTTCATTTTCTTTATTCTCCCATTATACAGTATTTGTCAAGTTCCACTCATAACTTTATTTTCTTTCAGCTTTTTCCTCATCATAGTAGCTTCATCTGGTCGGTTCCAGTTGGGCTGTTACTCCATTTTGGATTGAAATATCAGCTGTGCTGCTGCAATCAACATCTCTGTTAACAAATGTTGGAGATTGGCCTGTTTCTTTTACTGTGACTAGAGCGGCTTGGAGCTCATCTGCCTGGCAGTGTCTTTCCTTGACATGGTCACCTGAGGAGCTAGTTAACAGTTACCTTTTGTATCTCTACTTCTTTTACTATTTCTGCTTCTATCTTATTGAACCTCAGTCGGCCGATCGCCACACACACTGCTGGAGGTTTCATCCTGCTAAAAGGGAGTTTTCCTCTTCACTGTCCCCACATGCATATACTTGGAGTGAGGGATTGCTGTAGAGTCACAACAAAATGCAAGCAAAAGTCGAACAAAAATCGTTGCTGCAAGCTCCTTCAGAAAGAGCATGACTTGCAAGTCAATGACTGGATGCAATCAACCAATCACACAGTATTGTCTGTTCTTCTTGGATTTATTGGCGGTTGGCAACAAACATTTAGTAGCATTACCGCCACTTACTGGTATGGAGTGTGTTTCGTGACGGACTGTCTTCTGATAAACATATATATATATATATATAATTTCTAAGGAAAGAAAAAAAGGAAAAAAAACTACATACTTGTCTATATCATAAACATATTCACCCTCTCAAATTCTATGAAATAATTTAGTTTTCTTTAAAAAAAAAAAGAATAATTATTTGTATATGTATACTCCCCAAATTCTTCCCCAAAATATCTAATAAATGAATCTTTTCCTTAATACATTCAAAAGTCTCTCCTCATATATCTTCTCTGGCTTTCATATTTATGACATTCCAGTATAACATGTTCTATTGTTTCATATTTTCCACAGTAATCACATTTGCCAGTAGTATGCTTTTGAATTTTGAAAAGTTTATAATAAAGTCCTGTATGCCCAAATCCTAACCTTGTTATCACTCTCTCCTCCTTCCTATTTCATCTTCTTTTTTCTTTTTCCTACTATCTTCTGAATTTTATAAAAAAAAACACCTTCCTTTTTTTTCTTCATCCCACCCTTTTTTCCATCAATTTTTCTTTAATAATAATCTTTCCCTCTTATCTAAGAGGGAATTCTTATCTTAGAATCTTATCTAACTTGTTTTAACTGTAAAACTAATAGGATTTTGAACTGCTCTCTTTGCCATTTTATCTGTCCTCTCATTTCCTTCTACTACAATATAGTATTGTCTGTTAAGTGCCTTCAAATGACTTGTGTTGTTAATTGGCACTAAATAAATAAACTAATTTGGATAGATAGATAGATAGATAGATAGATAGATAGATAGATAGATAGATAGATAGATAGATAGATAGAAAACAGATGAGCAACAGTTCAGTTTTTCCTGTTTCGACGGTTTAAAACCACGTGACCCGTGTTTACATTTTCTCAGCTGTTTCTTTCTTCCTCCTCACCAACGCGTCTCGTCGCTACCACGCTTATATCCGACCAAACCATCAAAGTTAGCTCAGACACGCAGAGCTTGATCAATAGAAGCTGTTTTCTACTGAAAGTGTTTGTTTTTCCCACTGACCGTCGCATTGCACGGTGCGTTCACTTGCAAGGAGTAAGTAAATGCGACACGGCATTGTGAGTATTTTTCTGTGTTTACCGTTTGGTTTAAGTTCCGTATGTTTGCGAGTTTTCTGCTTTAATGTGTGTAAGTGTCTGCTGTGACACGGACTTCCACAGCAGAGGAGCAGCGTTGTGTTTGTGTTCGGCTGCTGTGTGTTAGAGCACAGAAAGAGCGGAGCTTACCTAACCTGCTTTGTCTCTGTTTTGATGATGGCGTACTCGGGCCCACCAAAACCTAACCTTAGCCAGCTCCACGCAAACAGCTGTTCCCACGCACTTTTAGGAAGAAAAAAAAACACAGAGGCTAACCTCTGAAATAAAGCTCTCCTTCTCCGTGGAAGTCAGCTTTTATTTCTTAATGCGCACTCAGGTTTTAGCGACACTTTTTTTTTTAACTGTCATAAATGTTAATATAATCCGGAAGAGGCTGCGGGAAATTATTTTCTCATTTTCCGTTGGGTTTATTTACACCGTTAGTATTAAAATCACACGAGGGCTGCTATTTTCCGCTTTAACAAACCGGTTTGGCGATTTGCATACGGCTAAAGATTGGGGTTAATCGCACTGCAGAAAGCTGGTCAGCAACTGCGTTTTAGCTCAAGTGGAAACAAAAAGCTGCGTGAATGTTCAACTACAGTACAGCCCCTCTTTGTGTTTAACAGCAGGTGTATTTATGGTTTGGCACCCGTGAGTTCACCATAGTTAGATATTAGAAAGAACAAAGAAGGTTCATGGCTTTTTAAGGGCTGGATTCATGTAAACGGTGTTGTTGTTTTGCTCCACTGTCACATGCAGCGTGTTCGGGCCGCTGATTGGCTGAAGGACCAGTGTCTATGTGGCAACGGGATCACGTGATCAGGGGCTGCTCTGATTGGCTGCTTCAGGTGTCAGTTAATGACTGTTCAGGAACATCTGTGGACAAGAGGAAAGTGCTTCCTTTTAATAGGATGTCCTAAACTAATATAATAATGATGATAACAACAAAGACAGTAATAATAAAATAATTTATTAAATTTAAGTTTGGGCTTAAATGTGTTTACTTTATAGAAACAGCATAGAAACCTTCATTTTCATTGGATAAACTAACCTGAAAACAGTTTTTTAATGTTGCAAAATTTTCATCTCAGCATTATAACTGACTTTTAGGTATTTTTTAACCTAATTATAATTTTTTATTTTTTATAGTAGTTACATTGCCTGTTCTATGTAGAGATGCTCTGATCTGATACTTGGATCGGCTCAGATACTGACTAAACGGGATTCTTGCCTATTTTTTATCTTTATTGATATCATACAGTTACAGTGACTTTGTATTATGTTACTTGTTACTTTAATTTCATCACACAAAGCACATAAAGCAGCTAGAGAGGATTTGTATCTATGTTCATTTATTACCTTTAGCAATGTTGATGTCACAAACAGGAGATAAAATTCATAGATGTATCAGATAATGTCCGATATGCTTAGCCCATGTATCAGTGTCCATTGGAAACAAATAGATCAGTGCATCTCTAGTATTGGAGATTAGGGGTGTACAATTTGGCCAAATATCTAAATTGCAATTTTGATTTTATTTCCATTTTCCTACCCTGAGCCTGTAGATGTTTCACCCAAGGCTTTTGGTTTTTGAGAGCTTGCTTGCCCAGAGTCCATTGTTACATGACCTTACTGTAACCATTGTGTGAAAAAGTGTTTAGTTTACGTGTATTCCTTGATCTGCAAGTTAGCTGCTAATCTCTCTACCTTTCTGTGTGGTGAGAAACAACCACCCAATGGGCTGGAGGGAGACATTTAGTGTCCTGCTCTTGTTAAATATACTGTGATTAAAAAGTAGTGCCTCTGTGATTTGAAAATTGCTTTTTGTTAAATTTTGATTATATTTCAAATGCAATTAATTGCCCAGCCCAATTAGGGATGCAAGTTATTGATTACTGTCTTACTAACAATGAAATTAGAAGTGCCCCATTTAAAAAAAACATTAAAAAAAAAAACAGTTTTCTTGTATCAAGAGGATATTTCCATGAACATGAGGGGCTCCTTTTTAATATTATTATTATTATTTTTTTTTAGAAAAGAAAAGAGAAAAAAAAAAAGTCTAGTACATGATTATATTTTAACTCTTTATCATTCCAACTGTTTAATACAGACAAAACACGTTTTCTTTCACATTATTGAACTAGAAATATAACAAAATAGGAACCTATTGGGTTACTGAATAAAAACACCCTTTTGACCTTTAATGATAGAATATGACATGCTATTGCCACTTTTTTCAATGAGGTCGACGATAACTGTGATTATAGCTCTGTGTTTTAGTGTAACCCAACATTCAGTGCTGGGAGAGGCTTTCATGCTGTTAGCAGGGCCTTTAAACCGGTAGTTTGGTTGCTCTAAGGGAACTGTTAAAGCATGGCTCCATGAAGTGCATCACAGGCTGAGCCTTCTCCATCTACAGTGCTCATTGCTAGCATGTATTTTTCTGTCATGTTAGAAATGTTTTGTGTAATGCTGAGCTGCGTCGTCGTGCATCAAGGATAAATAGTTGCTATTTAGGTGATAACTTATATAATATATATATATATATATATATATATATAAGCATAACCACAGTAAGTATGTTCTGAATCCTTGTCGCTATTAAAGTGTATAATAGAAGAATCTGGATCAATGCATGTCGCAGGCATTACTTCTCTTGCCAGCAAGGCTCTTCTTAATAATCAACTGTGTTGCCCTCTTTTGGAAAACGCAACTATTGAGAAAAAAAAAAAAAGAGGACATGATCAATTATTTTTTATGTAAAAAATCTTTACATTAAATGGTGCATATCATATATCATATACATTTAAATAAACTTTCAGGCAGTGCAGTTTGTTTATGTAAATTGATAAATCATAAAAAAAATATAATAAAATATTAGCACCTACAACAGACAGACAGGAACTGTTTCTCGCCGACACATTTTAAACATCAATAAGCTTATAGACACATTCCTTTAGATGATAACTAATCTACCATTATAGCAAAAATAAATTTGAATGCACATATGAAATCGTATTGACAGCTTTAAGGTGGAAAATAAGAGTTGTTATTGACACAAGCTGCAGTTTTTATCCACTGCAGAGCACTTTAACGATTTAGTCTGAAGATGGTGCTAAAGCAAAGATCATTATGGTAAACATTTTATAGCTTGTCATATGCAGCTCTGGAAATGAAGACTCATACCGAGCATGTTACTTAAGATCCTTTGCTGTTTGCAATCAACAGTGTCCACCTTATTAAAAGACTGATTTGTCGTCATTGATGTGTGACATGGATCCTAAGCAATTTGCAAGCTGTGTAAAAATTGAGCTGTAGTTGTAGATTTGTTCATGCATATTGCTGTTGCCATATAGATTTTTCCTCCTCGCACTCACTGAGCGAAGGTTTGAAAGCCACCCTGCATGACGCTCGTTCTGGTTTGAACCATAAATTTGCTCCCTGCAGAATACCGACAGGGAGATTATGCATGAAATGTTTGTCCTCTGTTTGACACTGCAGTGTGTGTCCAAGTGGGATCACAGCCGGAGAGCGTTCACATTTCCCAGACATGTTAATTTTCAGAAATGAATAAGTGGTGGGGTAAAGGTTAAGGCCTAAAACTGCTAATCCTGATCTGGTTACAGTACTGCACTGATCCATTGGAGATTTATTTTGTGGACTGGGATTCATTTTGTTTATTTAACAGGGATGTGATTGTCTTGGTTTGATTTACAGCCTGTTGCTATAAAATAAAACGTCTTAGTTATGGGAAAATCTGATGTAGTGGTTAAAAAAACAAAGCAAAAGCAGAGCGATTAACTCTTCTCCTATGAATTTAAACTTATAATAAGGCTAAGATTGGATTTGATATCAATAATATTTAAACAACTGTGTTTTTAAAAATACAGAACAGCATGTAGGACAAGTGTTTAAGTGTTTTCAAGCAAAAAACCTTTTTTATATGTGAGTTTAAAGTTGTTTTGCACCTTAATTCACAATCCATTTGAAACCGTTTTTTCCTAAACTTCTAGGAGAGTTTGAACCATTAGATACTGATGTGGAAACTAGCCTACGACTCCTTACAAAATATTTATGAGCCTGATTCTTAGCGGTTGTTCAGCCTGTAATTTTATTTTTAACAAAAACAAAACAAAAAAGTCATATTATCTAGCTGTGAGAGAACTGCTTTCAATAAAACAAAACATCTTGATCACCCTTTTGACATTGGAAGAAAAAAAAATCTTGAAATCAATCAAAGCTTAGGAAATAAAATATATGATTTATTAGTCTTTTTTTTTAACACAAGTGTAAAACAAAAAGAAATATTGTTTAGAACAGCTCCTTGGACAATTTCAGTTCCTTTTCATTTCAAGTGCAGCCTTGAAAAGTAGTAAACAATGTATAAAAACAGTAATATAAACATATGACTGTGAATTTACAGCTCTAACATTTCAGTTTTTTGTTTTTTATATATATAATGATAAAATATAATAAAATACAATACAATAACCCATTTTACAAAACATTCAGCAGTCTAATGGCAGTGGGGAAGAAACTGTTATGGAATCTGCTGGACCTGCATCCAATGCTTCCAAGCATCTTTCCAGAGGCTATAGACATATATTAGCCCAGTAACAACCAACAGACAGTGAACTGCAACCATCTCTTAAGTTCAAACACCTCTACAGAATTAGGCTTGAGCAGGTATTTGTTTTAGAAATGCAAATTAGTGATGAGTCCATAATTTACTGCCCCTTCAACAATGATTTCACCCATTGTTCCTTTATCAAAAATAAGTGTACTTACATTTCAATAAAAAGCTGTTTTACTGAGCTAGAATGTTTAGTTTGTAAATAAAATAGTTCCTTATGTGCCCAAGTTGTTTGATGCTAACGAAATTAACCTGACCCAACGTTTGGTATAGGTAAGGTTCCCATATATTTTGTATTGCACTGTGAAATCTTATATTTTTGCAGTAGTATAAACTGGTTTCAAAG